GTGTGTGTGTGTGTGTGTGTGTGTGTGTATCTTTTAAGCAACAACATTTAACACATATAACATGCCAGGCACCATTCTGTTCTTTCACATGTTCATTTCTCCCAACAACTCGGTCACCTGAGCAGTACCCCTACCCCGAATCCCAAACAATCCAGCCAGGGAACAGCCCAGAAGGGCCTTGAACTCCAGGGGCACCGCCCTCGAGAGGAGCCCTTACTCACCACCCTGTACTCCTCTCCGCGAGCTCCAGGCAGGACCCCTCTGGAATTTTCAGGGCCCAGTGCAAAATGAGAAGGCACGGCCCCTTGTTCAAAAAGTATGACAAGTTTCAAGATGGGGACAGCAGAGGACTAACCAGGAACAGCAGCCTCTGCAGCCCCAGAAGCCAGCTCCGTCGCCAAGTGCTGCTTTCGGTCGTGCGGTCCTGGGGTGCGTGTGGAAGTGTGTGTGCGCCTGTGTGTGCCTTTGTGAGAAGTTACTGCCAGTTTTATAGAGAGGGAAGAGGGAGACACAGAAATTAAGTTGTTCTGCTGCCTACCAGGCATATGGTTGTTCGGTAGTGTAGTTGTTTGGTTCTCTGCAACGACTAGCCCCTGGGCCCGTCTCAATGGACAGGACAGTGTCATAACAGGATATCAACCGTGGCTTCAGCAGACAGGGCTCACCCCTCCCTCCTACCCCATCAGTTCCCATCTTTGTGATTAGCTTTAAAGACAGTGTGTGGGGGCGCCTGGGAGGCTCAGTTGCTCAAGTGTCTGACTCTTGATCTCAGCTCAGGTTGATTTCTCACGGTTTGTGGGTTTGAGCCCCATGTCAGGCTCTGTGCTGACGGTGCGGGGTCTGCTTGGGATTCTCCCTCACTCTGCCTCTCCACTTTCTCTCTCTCTCAAAATAAATAAAGAAACCGAAAAAACAATAAATCCAGTGTGCCCTAAAAAATTAGATAAAACAAAACAATTTGCCTAACATCTTTTCTTTTCTTTTTTCTTTTCTCTTTTCTTTTCTTTTCTTTCTTTCCTTCTTTCCTAATTTATTCACTTATTAAGATCTAATTAGCTTTATGAAATGATTCAGCCAGCATCTCATCTAGCAAGTAGAAGGGACCTCCCGCCTAACAGCTTTTCACACATACAAAATGAAGTATCCTATATTCTAAAACATTTTTTTAGTGTTTATTTATTTTTGAGAGAGACAGAGCATGAACAGGGGAAGGGCAGAGACAGAGGGAGACACAGAACGGGAAACAGGCTCCAGGCTCCGAGGTGTCAGCATAGAGCCCGACGCGGGGCTCGAACTCACAAACCGTGAGATCATGACTGGGGCCGAAGTCGGACGCTTATAACCGACTGAGCCCCCCAGTCAGCCCATGAAGTGTCCTATATTCTAAATATTGGTAAGGATCACACCAGGATAATGTTGCAGGATTTTT